AGAAGGGATGAGGAGACTGAGAGAAAGGAAAGTGAGGGTGAAGAAAGAGAGGACATGGCTAGTGAGGAGAGACAGGGAGGGCGGACACCACCCACTCAGCCAGCAGCCAGCTAACATCACTGCCCCTCCACCTGCCAACATCACTGCCCTCCACCTGCCAGCACCCAGCCAGAGGAGAGCAAACAACAAAAACAAGCAAGGTGTCCCGTCAAAACACCATCCTCACTCCTCCTCCAAAGTGAAATGTATTCTACATACAAATCTCACTGCACCATGAAAGCCCTGGTTGGCATAGCCCCACATGGCGCAGTGACATTTGTTTCCAGTCTGTATGGTGGTTCTGTCAGCGACAAGGAGATTTTCAAACAATCTGGAATAGCTGCGTTGTTGACTGAAAACATGGCAGTGATGGTAGATAAGGGCTTCCTGATCAGCGATTGCTGCAAATGCAAAGTGTACTGCCCACCTTTTCTGTCAAAGCAGAAGCAAATGCCAGCCTATCAGGTGAGGGAGACACAGGCCATTGCCAGACTGAGGGTTCATGTGGAGCGTGTCATTAGGAGGATAAAAGAGAACAAACTTTTTGATGGTGTCATCCTCCTGTCCCATGCCTACAACATCAACCAACTGTTTGCAGTAGCATGTATGCTGTCAAACTATCAGAACAAAGCACTGGTCAAGAAATGGGTGAAATAAGACAAGATGATGACACCTGTGCAGGTAGCTGTGATTAAGCTGGGTGAGCACACCGTAATCCCGTGTTGCCTGACACACGCTAGTGTTTTGTTTGAATAAATGGTAAATAGCAAATTACAATGCGTTGATGATTTCTTACAAATGCACTGATTTACTATTCATTACACAAATCACTTCACTTTATTGTCTTTTTAAATACAATTGTATATTTATTTACATATATGAAATGTGACAAACAATATATATCAAAAACAAAATATTGAAATCACATTTTGTTGTCATTCAGAACACATGATTGAGGGATTGCCTCCTAAAAACAATGAAGGCTGAGCCAGGGTCTAGCAGCTAACTGCTTACAGAGTTAACAATGGCTACAGTGCCCACTACTTTTTTAATGACAGGTACTTCGGCATGTATGTGTAAAAAAAAAAAAGTCTACTTTTTCTCTGATTGCTCTTTGCACTTCTGGATCTGTGTATATTCTTTGCACCAGGTAGTCCACTGCATCCCAGATACAAGAAGTTGACCCTGTACTTGCCAGTAATAGGCATGGCTTTTCTTGAGCTTAGGGGAGCCACATTCCATCTGCACATATTTGCAGTCGACATAATTTGGGACATTTGAATTCAACAAGGCCAAATTGGGGATATTCTGTTGGGTCAAAAACAACTCCATCAGGGGAGGCACCAAGCCAGGGCGTAGAGGGGTGAATGACAAGGCCACAAGGGGAGTAGTTCACGTTTGCCAGTCTACTGTATTCAGCTGCTACTGTGGGCTCCATCTCGGCACCTCTCCTCATTTCTGCAGTCTGCCTTGTACCTTTGAGTATTCGCTCTGCAAGAGAGTTAGCAGAGCTCTCACCTCTGACGTGACAAATCTCTCTTAACCTAGAGGCAGTAACCCTGGGTTTGCGGAGCAGATGCCACTCTGAGCTAGAGCTTTGCTCACGGGTAGCCTCCTCAATTTTGTGAGACATTTCCAAATCAACAGATAAGCTGTTCATATGTAGTTGCTCCTCTTCTGAGCACACCAGCGGTAAATCACATGGCAAGATCACATACCCCTCTATGGGCAAGTGGGGTGTTGGTGGTGTGTCAGTGTGAAGTGTGGTGTACCGAGACGTCAAAGCAGGCATCTGATAGGACAGAACACTGCCCTCCTGCACAATCCCGAAGGCACTTTCCACAAGGGGCTTGTCAGGTCTCATGTTCATTGTGGTCACAAGCGGCCTGTCTTCAATGCTGAATGCTGAGTATGCCTCCGTAACTCTGAACAGGCAGGGATCTGGTAATGGCCCCACCATGCCTCTGTAGAATCCACTCCTACAAAGAATGGCAAAGACAATATAGCACATTAATGTGACAATAAAGGTTAGGAATACAGCACCAGAATTATGAATTTTAAAAACACAGGAAACACAATTTTCCAGCTAAAATTACCTTACTCCAGTCTGCACCATCCTATTTAGTACAGGCTTGGTGAAGACCATGGAGTTGATGGGCCCTGGCTTCACACCCTTAAGGAAAAGACAATTACTGTTCGTTGAGTCACTTTAAAACAAAAACTCTGTGAAAGATTACAAGTATTTGAACCTCATTGAAATTACCATTGTTCGCGGCTTGTGCCATTGCTGTTCCGATTCAGTACAGCTATGCACAGGTGGCACAACTGGCATGTTCAGTTCAGTGTAGTGTGCTGTTTGGAACAGCAATGCTACTGTGTGATTGCACAAAACAGTTCCTGCAACACAGGAGCACTGGTTGTACGTGAGCACCACTGGTGATGAATCACGAAGCGTTATCTAAAAAAGAGAGAAGAAATACTAGTGATTAGTAACCTCACTTGTTACTATGAGCCAGGAGGTTATTATGAGTAGAATTATTGGTTATTTTTACTGACCCATTATCCTAGAAGAAGCATGTATTCCTGAATGCTTAGTGTTACCCTCTTACCCTACAATACCACAATGAACTTTCTTTGGAAACTAAGATGCCTTGAAAATTGTATTAAAGCAGTTTTGACTATATATTTGAACCCCCAAACTTACACATCCATAATCAATGTAATAATATCTGACCAATCAGCTGTGATAAAGCAGGGAGAAGTAGGACACTGTTGAGATTCCCTTAAGGTAAACTAATGTTTAACTGAACTGAAACTCAATAAATAGGGGGGAACAGTGTCAATGCTGCCTGCCTACACTCAAACTGTGTGCTGTCTCGCTCTTCCGCATTGACCTGTAGCACAAGGCTCTCACGCTGACCTGCCCTGTCAGCCTGTCTTTATTGGACACTGAATGAAGAAAAACAGAGCAACAGCGTTAGATCTATACTCACGTCAACACATCTATGGCAACATTGCTTTACAAAAGCTGATACCATTATGCAGTGTGGCTAACAACAAGATAACCTTGGCTAGGCTATAAGGCTATTAAACGATAGTATTTGTTAGCAAAATGGCTAATGTTTTAAAGAATTAACACCAGAAACAGTACATAGCGTTACCCAGAGCCCTATAGTAGTATAATAATAATAATAATAGTAGTTATACTATAGGGCTCTGGCGTTACCTAGCTTTTGACAGCTAATGTTAGCGTAACCCGGAGCATAAGCTAGCTGGTTAGTACCGGTTACCTTCTTACCTTCATAGTTGTGTATATATGACGCAGCATATAATTTGAAGCCTTTATCGAGTTTGCTGGCTGGGGCTTTAGTCGTCCGGCAAATCCGATGAACATCTGACATTTTTAATTTCGGAAGCTCTTGTAGGCAGCGGGTGTAGAAGGTCGTCATTTTCAAACAGGAAATGAATCGGCCGCTATGAGTAGAATGCGGAAGTGACTGTGGATGTAGCCTATTCGGTTAGTTTTCGTTTTCGTCTCCGTGTAGATGCAGCCTTAAACACGAGTATCTGTACTTCTACTTGAGCAGAGCCCTAGAGAGGGCTCTGTACTTGAGTAAAGGATGTGTGAACTTTTGCCATCTCTGTTTCCACTACACTTGTAAAAAATGTAATCACATTAATTTGGTTCACCCAAATACGAAATAGTTGCCTTGTCACGTAGCCTACTGCTGCTGTTGAATAATGAGTAAAGCTTTGTGAAGCTTGTGGCTTTTTAAAATTCAACATTAATTCCTTGTTATTTTCCATGACACGTGAAACCATGTACTGCCTGATACTGCCTGTTCATGCCTGAACGTTGCCTAACAAACACTCAGCTCTTGTGTGTCCCTCAGAAAACAGGTTAACAGTGCGTCACCTTACCTGCTACTGTCACATCACTGCACAGCGATGCATCTCAGTGTTTGTGGATTCCTCTCAGGTGTGACTAAAAACACTCAACACTGCAGATATAAACAAACAAGAACCTGAGATATATTGTAACATTTGATTGAAATAGTCTATCTTTATATAGGTAGAAACTTACTAACACTTACTTAATTATGCCGTCAAATGTGAATAGCCTGTAGGCCTACTACGCATACATACAAATAAATGTATTCAACTACACACCTGTACATTTTTGTGAATGCTTCTTGCAATATCATTGTGACAAAATATGTCCACAGACAGGAATATCAACTTGCGAAATTACTTCAGGAATATATTTTGCTATGATGACACACAGAAACAAAAGGTGAAAACAAAGCAGCGTTTATGTTGAAAACACGGCTTGGTAGGGAAGGCTTGATGGTAAAGAGCGAGCCATTGTTATCGCAATGTGTTTCACCTGTGCTTTTCCTGCCAAGACAGTTAAAAATGACGGACAAGCACCTAAACAAAGATCAGAACCAGGCTCAGAGAAGTTTGATCTGTGAAATGTTCCGGCGCGCTTTGTTGCTGCATCTATCTAATGATACAGTCAATGGTCTTAGCTGCAGGACAGAGAAAGGCTTAATTAAATGTACACATACAACAACAAATTCTCACTTACAACTGCTGGTATTTATCATATTGTTAGTTTTGGTCTTATTTTCTCAGTTTTTGAGACGTTTTTCTCTGAGATACAGTGACCAAATTACATTTCAATGATGCTGCTAAAAGCATTTACAGCTTTACTTCATTCTACCTCTGTGGATAAATGCTAAATTTGACCACATGCAATGTTTTTCGCCCTTTTGTACCCCAGCATTGTCCCAAGATATTCTTACAATGCGCTGCAGGGAAAATTATGCTTAATAAATTCCACAAAAAACTTTTCCTTCAGGACAAAACTTCACGTGTATAATCCATAGAAATAACTGTGAACTGGTGCTTAATGGTACAATAAATGATGTTATAAAGTAGCTTAAATGCACAACAAATACAATTTAAAGCAATTTTATTAATGACAACAAATGAGTGAAAATGAGTAAGACATTTCCATCTATTGCAGTCATCGCAGAAGGCTGATCATCTTTTGGGAAAGTAATTTTTAGCGACAGATTGTATGTTTGTCGTCGTACCAACACGGATGAAGTTCAAGGGTCATACATGTCGATGGCAGTGAAAAATAAAATAAATAAATTACAAACTGCACACTTAACTGCCCAGATAAGTGTTGAGGTAATGTGTAAAATACTATTCAGATGAACGGGCAGAGTACAATCATTCATACATAAAATATGTACAGAGGTACATGAACACTCAGACACTGTTTTTCAACAGTATGACACATGGAACTTTAACAGAGGAATCAAACTTGAATTCAATTATGAAATAAAATGAGAATGAAGAAGCACCACGGTGTATAAGTGATGCTTCAGTTTCTGAATCAAAATAGATAATACATTATTTTGCTTTATATTTGGAGAGACAGAGGATGGAGATGTATGCCAGGAGAATAAGGTCATATTGGCAATGAACCTAAAAAAGCACATGAATGGAGTGGATTCGGTTTCCATCTTTAACTTCCCAACCGATGAGAGGAGAGATGGTGTTAGAGAAAAGAGGCTAACTGTCCTTTTGTTCAGTCGCGTTCATATGTATTTCCAAAATCTTACTTCCATGAAACCAGCGTCGTTTCCGACTGAGCCGATGACCGGCGGGCCGATAAAGTATCCAGGATAAAAAGTGCATCATATTTTGTCAAATACTGAGAAACATTAAAACAACAATCTTATAATAAACATCTGAAATATCTATTTTTTTTCTCTCACTAGTGCAACAACAGACTGGATCAAATAAAAAGAAACCTGCAGGCAATCAAAGCTTTTTAAACATCTAAATATTTTCTTCACAGTAGCAGAACAGTTAAGAAGGCAACTTAATGATTGATGCTTGAACACAAACATGCCAACATTATACACATCGCTCTTTTTTAAAGAAATAAATAGCTGAATTATCATCTTTATCCTCTTCTTAAATAATTTCCATCTCTATATGACTCTGATGCACATTTAATATAAAGTATCTAATACACAACTGCAATTTCAACACTACTGTTATACATAATATAATTCTCTATGGTTATCGTTCATTCACTTTGGAGAGAAAATGCTTACAGAATGAAGACCTGTAAACTCTTTCCACTCATAAGTATGACCTTAATATTATATAACATCAAATGTTGGTCCTTTCTTTCCTCCTCGTTTTCTTCTTTTTTTACAAATAGTATGTACAGAGTAGCTGACAGCGAAGGCAGGATTGTCTAAAACTTAAAATCAACAAGTGCTTTGTGTTTTCTATATTGTGTCACAGACCCATTTCCCTCAGATGAGTCAGTAGCAGTGTAGGATAATAATATGCAGGACTGGAAAAACATGAAGAAATGAAACCCATGACTGTTCTCACACCTGGAACAGCTTCACTCCGATAAGCAGACCGTTTCTCATAATAGTGAAGCAGTGACCGCAAAAACATCAGCTCTCCTCATCAGTTTCTCATTTAAAGGTCACCTATTATGCAAAAATCCACTTTTATACATAAACACGTGTCCCCTGTGTAAAGAGATTCTAAAAGTTTCTCTCTCTTGTTGTCCTGATCCATTTATATAAAAACCTGTCTGAAAATGAGCTGATCAGATTTTGGCCACTTTATGTCACAATGTTTTTTCGGGTTGTGTACTAACCATTAGCTAATAACTAACCGCGGTAACACCTTACCACCTTATCACCTGATTCTCCATTGTGGTTTTCTTAACCAATCATTCTCAGACGGGCTAGGGAGGCATTCATTAGCATTTTAAGCTTGAAAACAAAATCAGTTCTTTGGAAACAGAGCTGAACCGGTTTATGGCATGCTACAAGTCATGATCTGTTTGGTATTTTGAGTCAAACACTTCAGATACATGTATATAACTGAGACCTATGATATATCGTTGAAAAAGAGTATAATAGGTGACCTTTAAAGAGTTCTCGTGACAAACTCCTGCTCTGCTGCATTCTCTGCCCACCAATATCAATGTGTTTTGTAGCAACAAAGGTATGCAAGGGTAAAATGAACAACTTGTTAAGCAACAGGCGGTAAGTATGTCGCAAAGGAAGAGACGTGATGTTCCCTCTGATGTGTGAATCATTTTTCAGCCGGCTACAAAACTGTGCAGACAATTTCTTAGAAAGCAAAGTGATTGTTAGCTCCAGTGATTGAGTATTGCACTTATATAATGTTTTGGGTCTTGCAAGAGATTGATTCATACAAAAGAATCAATGCAGCAGGGAAGAGAAATCCTGACTTTTGGTCCCCAGTAAGGGTCAAGCTCCAACAAATCCTATACATATTTTTTTCTATGGACCCTCGATGCCGTGTAGACGTTTCTTTCCTACATGCCCTGTAATTCAGATTTCTGTGTTATAAATGTTTTCCAAAGCTGAGATAAGCACACACGAAGCTCCTGATCCAGAAGACATTGGACAGCTGTTTTACCAGGCTGGTTGGTACTCTTTGTGAATAGTAAACTAATGATGTGAAAAATAGTTGAAACCCCCCTTTAGGTTATCTGCAGCACATAGGAGCGCACACTAAGTGTCACCTCATTAAGTATTGCTACTCATACTTCTTGACAATTTCTGCAACGTTGGATAAACTCAATTGTTTGCACCAAAATCAAACTGCTAATTTGAAGGTGAAGACTAATCTGTTGGTTTGGAGTTCTGCAAAGTAGTAAAGGTGATAAATGTTCCTCGCTGCTAAGAGTACAAGGTGTCATATCACACCAGCTGGCTGTTATCTGTGTAACCACGTGGAAAAACCAGCAGAGGGAGCCAGAGGATCTCAGCTGAATATAAGTGACGATTGATCAGCGCCATGTGGAGCACTGTTAATAGGAATGGCACTGTTTAGTATGGTGAAGTATGAAAATCACATGACATATAAACACCGTAACACCTGTGAAACCCTTATGTTGAGTTACTGCTGCTTAAACTCAAATCAAACTGATTTGAAGAGATTACACATCTACTGTACATGGTCCCTCTTCCATCATTAATGGCACATTGGAGAAAACGCTCACTGGAATGAGGACAGAAAATTGTAACAAATGGCGCCAGTTTCTGAAATGCATCGTGGATCATTCTTCCAGTCTTAGTAAAGAACAGCATCAGATACTTCGTCCTGTTCAGAGTTACTACAACCATCAAAGTAACACTGAGTCCAGGTTTGTGACATGACGCTGTTCACATGAGGAAGCAAAGAGGATGATTAGAAGAGAGTAAATGCATCGCTGCCATGCAAATGGCTAAAAACACTGTCAAGGTGTGTGTGTGTGTGTGTCCTTGCTCTCTACGCTGTGCCTGGAGCTGGTGCAGCATGTTTCTGTCCGGGGTTGAAGCAGTAAGTGTTGAAAGTTGTCCTGTTTTAACACACAGCATTGTAGGGCAGGCAGAATGGGAACCATGTATCCAATCCTCGAGAGACACACAAACATGAAGCTCCTGTCTCAAGTCAACATCTTTTGAGGAAATCTATTTTTCTACAACTCCTGCCATTCACTCACTCGATGTATATATATACCTCTGCAGAAAGTCTTAATGTGCTCCTGCCCACCAGCTGTTGCTGTTGAAGGTAGTCTTGAGTACATGTCAAGCATGGTGTAGATGCAGGCAGCTGAAAACAGCGCTGTCACCTGGCTCCAGGAGTTTCAATAAAGGGCCCTGGCTCTGTGCAGAGACATTATCCATTTTATGGTGAAAGCAGGAGACGACTGAGAAAGAGGACTCTGACAGTTTGTTGGATCTGTGGAGTCAGTGAGCTGTAAAGCAGGCCCTTTATGTGATATCATTGTCATTGTTAACTCAAAATAAGCCTCTTGACTCGTTTTTAGTCTTAGCAAAACACGAAGGAGACATTGATTTCCCCTTACTGTAGTAGTGAATGAGTTATTTCAGTTTGAACTTTGTCCTTGTGGAGGATGCACATTGAGCCTCTTTCCTGGTGCATCATGGTGATCCTCTTCTGTTGTTTCTGTTTGTGCTGCAGACGTATTCAACCCCATGGAGCGGGCTCAAAACAGCTGGGTCGTGTTGATTGACTTGAGCCAAGATGGCGCCTCGCCAAGACTCGAAGAATAATCTGCACAAAATATGTTAGCAGAGACTGTCTGCTTTCACGTGGAGGATTTTGGAGAAACCGGGTCTCTTCTTCAGAGCCTAAGAGAAGGAGGGACAGGAGGACACCAGCATGTCATTATCTCAATGTGATATTTTTAGTATCTGACGTTAAAGAATGCTTTCCCCCTGTTGTCATCATACTTTTGTATTTCCCTCCATTAGCAGGTGTGTACAATACCTTGTGTGTGACAGAAAGCTAGTTTAAAGTGGACCTATCATGCTATATTTGAAACATATATTGTAGGGCCATACCTATATAAAACATGTCTGTGAAGTTTTTTTTTCAAAATACCAAATAGATCATGCATTTTAGCCATGCCTCATTTAGCTCTATTTGCTCTTTTCCAGCCCTGTTTTTGCAAGGGCTGATTCTGCTTTTGGGGCAGACTACAGCGCCACTTACAGGCCTGGCATATGTACTACAGCGTCTCCAGCGCTTTCGAGCGGTCTCTCATTCCCCTGATGGGTGGAGAGTTGCCCATGTAGGCGGAGCACCCCTTTTCTGACGTCAGAAAAATTCAAATAATAATCAGCTCCGTAGCAGCCCCGTTTTTAGAGATTTGGGTATGGAGGAAAAGAGAGAGGGTTGTGTTTTCTGACACTTGGTGAGTTCCCTGACACACCGGGGACACATATTCATGCATAAAAGACGTACAAAAGTGCATTTTGCATGATAGGTCCCCTTTAAGGAGGTACATGACTCTCTTCAAAAATTGACCATTAAACATTTGAGGAGAACTTAAGCTTCCTTTTCAGAGCAAACTGAAAAAGGGAGGGATAAATATAAATCAATGCCTGTTTGCAGCTTTTTGAGTGGTTACCTAACGGCTGTGAGCAACCCCACTGTATTGAGTGTTATAACCAAGAGGAACACACTGTAAACTGACTCATAAAAACAAAACATAAATAAAACCTGGGATTTCACAGCGTTGATATCTCTGTTTGTGTGTGGTCGGCTATGAGAATGACCCGAGCCTCTCACATAAGCCTTTTCTCAGTGAGTTAGCACCAGCACATCCAAAACCAGCCAGCACTGGGAATTCAAAGATTGAGTCATGTTTTAAACTGTGTGTAGTCATGGTAAAAATAGATGTATTTAATCCTCTGAACAGGAACTCGTCCAGCTGTAGTGCATAGTGTTGCAAAAATCCAAGGACATGTTGGCTTAAAAGAAGAAGGTGTAGAACAGAGCTAACCTGCCTGTTAGTCAACATTGCGCTCAACGGTGTAGTTACAGTTTATTTGTGCTTTGAGGCGAAATGTGCACACAAAATATCATATATTTATGGACTTACAACTCATTGGAAAACTGAACGTTGAGCACAATTTGGAATTTAGGACAAAACTCACAACTTGGAAACATTTTTCTTCACGGACACTTAAGGACTTTTTCCCCAAAAATACAACAAAAGTACAAATGTACAATTAAAAGTGGTGAATTAGAATTGTCTCTTAAGTAAATGTACTCATATTGCAGAATGATACATTTCAAAATATATATTTCAAAATAATATTCTAGTTAGTAGTGGGGGGTATGGCTGTTACCTGCAGCTTGTTAACCATCTCATCAAACAGTTTCCTAGCTTCAGGGCTGTTGGGGTCTTCAAAGTAGTCTTCAATTCCAATCTGAACCACGATGGACTTCAGGTTACGGCAAACACCTGCAGGAGTAGAAGGAGGATTTAAAGAGCATTCATTAGCAGGGTGTCAATATCACAGTTATCTGTTTAATGTTGTTTACATCTGGATTTTACACAGTAAAGGAATACAGCAGAATTCAAACTCACTGTTGAAGTGGAGCAGGGCTTTGGGAGTAACGGGGGTGGAGGAGAGCACCAGCATCTCCAGACCCTTCAGGCCCTCTCTGCAGACCTCTGCTGCCACCTCCTGGTTGATCTCACTCACATGATCCAACTCCAGCACCTGCAGGCGCATGCAGTTCCTCGCTGGTGGAGGTGTGGGGGGGAGAGGTGGGGGGAAATGTAGTGATGCGGAAAACAGGGGAGGTAACAGAAAACAGCCGAGGTTACAGTAGTGCATCGGGGCTTGTTTAACCAAATCTGCTTGAAATACATATTGAGCATTATCCAAAACTGTTCTTATGCAGTTTTAATGGAGATTCTAATATTCATAAATAAAATAATTCTGGATTTGTTCATAGGTAAGAACAGAATTACCTTTGTAAATTTAACATAAATAATAATAACTAACACTAAGTGAGTAATGGCATCCCTTAACATTTTTCTGTGTTATTTTATATCCATGACTGACGCTTCAAAATTAACTGTTTGGTTCACCTACAGCAGAGGAACAACCACTTCAGAAAAAAAGTGTTGTGTATTTTTTCCCTACAATTGTGGTGCTCCACCCGATTAAGACTTTTGTTTGGATATTCTTGACTTTATTCCATGACAATTATGTTCGATTGGCACATGCTTTCAATTACAATGACAATGTGATTCATGATTATAAGAACACAGTTGAGAACAAGTCAAATCATATTTACCTAGCGAGGCCAGCCCCTGAATGCCACATCCAGCCCCGCCCACACCGAGAGCTCGGAGGTGCGGCCAACATCTGCCAATCGTCTGCAGGCAGCGGTTACTGAAACGGGCGGGTTGCTGGCTACAAGGGACAAAATACATATATATGTCCATGTTCAGTCATTTAAAAATACTTATGTCATTAAATAATAGAACGTATCTGTATTGATCATAAGAGGTAGATTTTTGCTCTGTTAATTACCATGGGTGTAGTGGCGCCACCTGTAGGGAGATGATGTCTCTGCAACCTGCTCCGAGAGCCCAGATCACTTCCTGGCCAACTGGATCTGTAGCACTTCTGGAGCAAAATATGTGACCAAAGTTTGTGTTTGTTTTGCATATATATGACACTTTATCTGTACAGCACAAACCTTAGTCAAAACTCATGGACTTGTTAAAGTAACACAGGCACCACTGTGATATGTGTGCGGGGGGGACCTGGTCGTCCTGGTTACCTGTAGGTCACCGCCTGCAGGGCCCGGCAGTAGCAGCTGGCCAGCCAGAGGGAGCGGTCGGTCAGCAGGTTGGGGCAGTGTGAAATCTTCAGTATCAGAAGGTTACTTCCTGTGGCCTTTAACAACGCCTCCAGACCTTCCTCCAGACAGCCACTTAGATGGAAACGTGGGGGAAGGTCAACAGAAAAAGACAGACAGAGACAGAGCAGCAAGAGTAATTCTCCTGGCCTTCAGAACAGCACTTTTACCATTTATAGCATAAGATAATATATTCCTCCAGTGTGTGATGCAATATAAGCAGGAAGGAAGCAGCTTATATGCGTTATGGATGCAGATTTAAACTGTAATACATTCACACAAAACAGTTAGCCACTCATATCAAATGTCTTCCTGCCTTCTTTCAGGAAATGCAAACTTTTTTTACATGCTTATCCTTATCAATCAGCCCAAGAACATCAGCATTTTATCACTCATGTTCCTCTTGGTGTCTTCCTCTCATCCATCATTGTTGGAGGAGTCATTGCGTATGTCACTTACTTCAATAGTTATCCATGAATGTGCTTCTCAAAGCTAAAATAATACTGAATGTAGTAATAAGTCCCCCACAGTGACTTGGTATTCTATTGTAAAGTGTGAGCAGATGTCACTTCCTGTGTATTTCTGTGTCTCACCGTGTGCTTTTGAGGTATTCCTCCTTGGTTTCCTTCTTGCCTCGCTGTCTTGGTTTGAGGTTTTGCAGGATGAGGGAGTGCGTCTGAGTGCACCACTGAGACATTGTGCTCAGAAACTGAAGCAGAAACATGAAGATCAGTCAATAAATCTTTACAAGGCACAGCTAAAACAGTAAAGCTATAATCATGGTGCTGCTTTGATAAAGCTACTGATAGACTGGACGCAGTATCTATATAATCACTATGCACCTTGGAAGAGATGCGGGCGTTCTCCAGCAGCACTCTGGTCCACACGGCCGGGTGCCGAGCCACAAACTTCCAGTCCCTGCAGACCTCCGCAGCTCTCAGCAGGGTCTTAGTGTCCAGGTAGGTGAAGATGCAGAAGAGAGCTGCACGCATCTTCAGGATCTCTGGACTGATCACCTCGTTGGATTTGGACGGGCTCTTTTCATGGCGGCAAGGCTTGTTGTAGACCCCATCGGACCGACCTGTGGGGAGAAAAAAAGACAGAAATATACAGTATACAAATCCTTTACCATCATTAGACTTGGATTCAAAAGTTTGTCAAGATTTATTAAATGTTTTAGTTTTTTGTTCGATTCTATAAGATGTCTTTGAAGGAAGGGAAATACCTTCTTTTTTTTTTAAGGTTATCATTTATTGGAATGTTCCTCATATGGTTGTTGCTGTATAATGTTTTTCTTTACTTTTTGATATTTTTTTGTATAGCACTTTGTTATCGTTGATTGCGAAACAAACCAATTGCAACTCAAATAAACTTGGTTATAATCAGGATTATCTAATTATGTAAATAATAATAATAATACATGTTATTTATATAGCGCTTTTCCTGGTGCTCAAAGTGCTAAATATGCAAAAATGCACATTTAGAAAAAGGATCGAATTATCTTAATCCTATTACAGTCGACCAATTTCCTTTATAACAAATGAATGTCACATACAAAATGTTCAAAAGATATTCTGTCACACGGTGGCGCCAACCTTCAACAAACCGCTAAATGAGATTACATAATTCCTCTTTTCCTTTCCATCTTTTCATTCTCTCTATTACTATCTATTGGCTGATACAGCGTGTCCAATCCGAGCTTGTCTTATTCCTCCCAGCAAGATTGCTCCTAGATGACTCATTTCATCTTTGGCCTTGGAAGAAACCATCAAGGCTATGAACCATTCTTTACACTCTCACTCTGTCTTTCTTTCTCTCTCACACACACACCACCTACGCTCAAGACTGCCAAATGCACTAAAAAAGCCGAGCTGTGTGTTACATGCTGAGAAGAAACTGTGTGCTTGTCGATACACACCATCTGATACAACCTGGCAGGGACTCTCCCGATAAGGAGATCTACGTCAGAGAGAAGGAATGCCAGAAACATGTTGAGTGTTTCGTGAGAAAACCTTTGAGTTAATGGGGCAGTCAGTCATAGCAGTGCATCCCAGTTTGTAATAGGGCTCTGGCCCATTTTCCCAGACTGCCTCTGTTCACCTAGTATTTAGAGTAAACCTGACAGCAGGTGAGTAAAAATGGAGGGCAGCAGCAGTGAGTTCAAGGAGCTTGGCAGCGGCGGAAGTTAACAGAGAGAAGCACAATCTGTGCTGGATCAGAAGAAATGTGCACGAGCAAACAGCGCTCATACTTGTGTTAAACCAAATAGTGTTAACACCTCATGAAAAAAGGATTTCAGCTGGTTAAATCAAATTGTAAGAACTTAAGTCAAGATGGATCCTATTAGGTTACATGCCAATTAGCAGGATTAATACCCCCTATACTGAGTTTCTTTTAATTAAATACATTTCCTTTGGTTTTATTTAGTAGCAGCTTGTAATTGATTCCAATCAAAGCTGGACATTTCATTTTTTTTCATTTAATCGTTTATTTGAACAGGGACAATGCACATTAAAGGTGGGGTAGGTAATTCACTTCAGAAATACTTTTTGTTATATTCCATGGAATGCTCTTAACATCCCGATAGCAATGATTATATTAAATGCTTTGACAAAAAATACATCAAAAAATGTCATCTGTGGAAGCCGTAGTACTGAAATAACTGGATGGCCTACCTGCCTGTCAGCCTTCCATCTGTGCACAAACTTATCTCGTGCCCTCATTGGTCATGTGCGCGTTTGTGTGTGTTGGAGGAGGGGCTCTGTAAGGAAGTGGCAGATTTGTTCCGGTTGTGTATTTTCAAATTCTAGCGCACTCGAGCTGGTTTCTCCAAAATTACCTACCCCACCTTTAATGAACACTTTAGACAAATAATGCTTCAAGTGTAAATATGCTGGATTTGAGCTTTGAGCTAATTTCCATCCATAGTCCCTGACATACAACATATAAGAACATGACATTTGTAAACATAGCAAAAACGAAATACATGATATACAAAAGAGCAAGAGCAGCACACACAAGTATTTACCACATAGCAGCAACGACATATTAAGTGCAAGAGATTATACAAGAGATGCATAAAGTGCAAGAGTAGATACCCCTGTGTTAAAGTGCATTTAGCGGTGAGTGCACGTCTGTTTGTTTCTCAACCATTCTTTGAGTTGACCTTTGAAGCTATTGACAGTGGGACAATCCCGTATCTCAGTTGGGAGGCTATTCCAGAATGAGCTGCCTTTAATGGAGAGGACATTTTGTCCAAAAGTGGTCAGTTTACAGTGGACTCCACAGTCTCCTCTGGTTTCTGACCTAGTGCAGCGTTCAGTGTGTTTTTGTGGATGGATTCCCCTAAGGGAGGGGGGGGGCCAGTCCATGTAAACATTTATAAAAAAAAACACATACTTTTAAAAGACTTAAAATGGTCAAAACTCAAGAAATTGTGTTTTTCAAGGATGGTACAGTGGTGGTATGAATTTGGCTTTCTGTCAAAAACCTTGATAGCTCTCTTGTACAGCTGTTCTATGGGTTTCAGGTTTGTGGCACAAGCAAACGACATGTTAAATACTTTCTCAGTTTTCCTATGGATGCACCTGCAATTTGGTCTCAAGATGCTACATTAGAGTGCCTGGCCTTCTCAATAGATGATGATGTTACTAATTGTCCTTGTAGCAAGTCAAAATTAAGTTAATATGAGGAATGTAAAGCACACTACATTCCCTATCCTGTGTAGTCAACCACAAAAAGAAATACTCAGTTTACTTGGAGAACAAATTCTCACTCAGTCTGTCTTCACAGTTAAAAATATCTACTCAATAATAATGAATAATGCTAGGTTCTTAGGACGGATGTGTAATTTCAGTCATTGGGCCATATAAATACATTTGATTTGATTAGAGTTTGAAACATTTCTATTTAATTAGAATAAATAACTATTTGATGACTAACAAATGTCTCTTTAATTATAATACATTAGTATTTTTAATGATGAAAACATGCCTCTTTAATAATAAATAAACACATTTTGATTGGAAAATAGGTGGTTTGCATTTGGTAAAGGAAGGATCAAAATGCCATTCCAGTTGAATTCCCCACCTCACACTCTGATTGGCCGAAATAGGGAATGCACCAAGCTGTTATCAGTTCTTAATTAGGAGCTACAGGTGATCTGAATAACCCTTCAATCAACTCAGGTGACATTCAGCTAAAAATAAACTAGGAAAAAAGGATATCAACGACTGCCACATCCTAAGACTCGTGAATTGGAAAAAAAAGACTGCAAAAAACATTTGTTGCAGTGTTTGTGAAAGCTCAGAGTCTTAGTCATTTTTCATGAAATGTTTACATTGTTGTGTCTACACACTGGAGCAGATGCAGGGCCTCTTTCCTCCATGTTTAGCATATAAGCGCATGTCTGATCCAAACTTTGTAGAAGGAACGTTGGTCAGTGACACAGCTCCAGCAGCCTGACTGCGACTCAACGTGACCTAGATCCAAATCAGTCCCTGCTCTCATGGGAATCCTTTACAGAGCCTTTATTCTGTGAAATCCTGGCTCCCATGTGTCCGGATGTAAGTTTAGAAAGAGAGTGTCAGTGTGTATACTTCTAAGAATAAGGTGTGTGTTACCTGTGTTGGAGCGATACGCTGTCCGGCTGTGGTGAGAATAGGGGGGGGGCCGACTGCTGCACTTCAGCCACAGCTCTCCTGTCTTGTTCCCACATCTCCATTTCAGACTCAGTGGTCCGAGAGCCCACATCCGACACGTCCCCCTCATCTCCCTCGGTGCTGTTCCTGTAAGGTCGCCGCTGCCAGTTCTGGATCGCCTGTTTACGAAGACCCCAGTTCCTCGACCCGCCCCCCCCACATCCCGGGGAGCGATCGTAGCCCGCCTCACCCAGCCGGCACTGCATATAGTACTGCGCCTCGGGGCAGTCCTCCATGGGATGCATCTCCACGCTGTCACTGTCGTAACCCCCAGAGCCCCCGGACACAGACTTGATCCGCCCCGATGCTCTGTGGGAAAATTAAAGGAAGGGTGCTATAAATAATAATAGGACACAGACATATGATGGTCCAAAGCATTATCCAATAATACGCAAAGCTGTGTTCTGGAAATCAAAATAGCGAGACTCAAAAACAGAACATAATATAAATGTAATATGTTATTAAAATGACTTTCAAACAATGTTTAAAGGCACAGTTTGACATTCAAGGAAACTCGTTTATACGCCTTAATGCAGAGGGTTGGATTAGAAGAATGATCAAACTGTCATCTTTTAAATAAGGAGCTATAACATGTAGTTTAGCTTAGCTTATTACAAAGACTTAAAGACGTTCCCTTTAAGACTATAAAGACTTTTAAATGTTACCACGACTGAAGTTAAACATGTTAAACACAATGCATTATAAAGAGGAACTTAAGAAAAATATTTGCAAAAAGAAGATACACACAATCTAAAAAGAATACAAAAGATGAATGAGGAGGTGATTACAGTGCAGTTGCAGTCTGGTGCAATATATCAACAAATGGTCCAAAATGCAATTGATTAAAAAGGCAGTGCCAAGCAGCAAAGGCTAACTAATGCGAAGCTAAGCTGTGGCTTTATATTAAAGAAAGATATATTGATCTTCCAATCAAACAAGAGTATTTTACAAAAGTTGAACTTTAATAACATCTGTTTGTGATGCAACACAATCCCTGCTTTTAATAACCCAATTAGGAAAAAAGTTTGTGTTTGACGGGGTCTATTAATAATATTTGTTATTCAGAAAACAAACAAGCACTCTCATCGTCATCACACCCGCTCTAATCCATTGTGTGAGCTGTTCATTTGATAGTACGTTTCTGTAGATACTTCCCTTCAGTACACTGAGGAAAACAATATTATGGTATTTCATCTGACAGTAGTGGATGCACTTCTGAAACCATAATAAACCACAGATATTGATCGTTTGACACTCTAGAAACAGCTGCATTTCAGAAGATATAAAGTAGAATGGGTGAAGCTTTTGTACACATGCTCAGGGCCACCCCTGGCCAACTTGGGTCCCCAAGCGACATTGTGAGATGAGCCCCCCCCCAACCGACAGGAGTGAAAAATGTTTTTTTGGAAACAAAGTAGGCTACTTTGCAAATATAATTCCTGTTTATTATTAATATCAACAGTTACTTTTTTATACAGTGAGGTAAATGGTAAATGTGCATGTATGTCGTTCAGTATGCGTTTACAGGTGAATACGTCTGCATTTCCTGCCAAATACTAGCCTCAAAAAGATTAAAATATAATGAATGCAAATAAACTACTTCTACTAATAATGATAATCATAATCAATTCAATAATATAAATACTATATTATTGTATTATAATATAGTTGTAATATAGTCAAGACAAAACATGCTTATGACATGCTCAAAAACTGATACTTCTTAAATCTGTATTCTAGTTCCCTCTGTCAGCAATGTATCATACACACACATTGCTATCAGTATTTCTCTGTGTTGTGGTTGACATGATGATGACTGTTAGGAGTTAAGGGGAGAGGCTGAGCATCACCATGAAATGTGCAAATTGACATAAAAATGAATAAAAGGGGGAAAAATGCTCCATGTTTTTTAGGCTGTACATTTTAACTGTTATGTAAGCCAACTAGACAAACAGTTTATCACTCTTCCTCCTGTACATTAGCAGATAAGAGGCATCACATACTTGAATGAATGGTAAATAAAGAATGCTGGAAATAACTGCATCTCCATTAGCCTATATGCTATGCAGAGACTGCCTTCTTCATGTCGTGAATTGCAGCTGATGTTTTAATATGGCAATTGGCAATTTGACTTATGCAACTTTCCCAAGTTGTACATTTGACTCATACAATATCCCACCTTCGAGTGATGCTCTGGTTTCTTCATGTTTTGTTTTTGTCCCCCTCTTGCTTGCGCCGGACTGAAACTGTCTTTTCACCGACATCTCTTCACCTGCACTAGTGGCCGTATCAAAGCCGTGATTGGTCAGATGTCGATTCATTGCAACGGTGTCGGGTTACTGACGTGCTCCCCTTGTCACCTCTCACTCTCACTCTCGCGGGGGGTGCGCGGAGAACTGAGCGGAGAACTGCGCACAGCAGCTGAGGCCCTCTGGGCGGGGCCCCCTGCGCAAGGCGGGGCCCCATGCAGCCTGCGTGATTGGCCTGTAGGGAGGGGCGGCCCTGCACATGCTATATTACTTTAAATAACACCCGAGCCAATACAAGAAATTAGAAGTCTGAAAAAGTAGGGCATCTTCTTCCTCCTTCTCTCTGCATAATAAGAAGAGTGGGAGCTTGTGCATTCATCATTTTAGCAGTCAAAATGAAAGAGAATCACAAATGATACTGCAGGTAACACATAGCAGTACTTTCAGGGGAAAAGGATTCACAGAAGATGGGATGCATTTTATGCCACAAATATGAATTTAAAATGAAGTAAAACTGTAACAAAGCGACGTGTTTATGGTTTCAACAATCTAAACTGGGTCAATGACAAACTGAGATGCATTACAGTTTGATGAGCTGGTTTTAAAGCAGTAACCTAATAAACAGCTTGAATATTTTACAACATTTAATCAATAGCAAGAAGTAATGATATGAAATCCCAATAATGAGAAGCTCATGATTAGCAAAAGCTAATAAGGATTTTAGGCTGTCATCTTACTTGTGTTGATCCCTAATGTGCAAATCAAATCACGTGTTGACTTTGCACGTGAACATTTTAACATCATGTCCTGATTCTGACAGAGATGCATCATTAGAGGTTGTTTAGACACAGCTTCAATGCTGAGTTGAATGGTCTGAACATAACTGACTCATAAAATTAAGGATGAACGTTTATATTAAGATGAGATCTGTGCATTTCATAACTTTATTACTATCATACATTAAGTAAGTAATTTTGGAGAAACCAGCTCGAGTGTGCTAGAATTTGAAAATACCCAACCGGAAAAAATCTGCCACTTCCTTACAGAGCCCCTCCTCCAACACACACGAACGCGCACATGACCAATGAGGGCACGAGATAAGTTTGTGCACAGATGGAAGGCTGACAGGCAGGTAGGCCATCCAGTTACTTTAGCCGCGGCTAAAATGATTGGTTGTGCTTTTTACAGTACTACGGCTTCCACAGATTACATTTTTGTATGTATTTATTGTCAAAGCATTTAATGTATTCATTGCTATCGGGATGTTAAGAGCATTCCATGGAATATAACAAAAAGTGTTTCTGAAATAAATTACATACCCCACCTTTAAGCCATAATACATTCATTTTATTTTCTTTAATCTATTTTAAATGCAAATAAAGTTAAACGTTGAAATTGACGGATGCAATAAATGAATAAATATCTGGTGAGGTCAACGTAAATAAATCATGAAAAATGTTGCACACTTGAGATCAAGACCTTTATCGAAGATGAGGAGCTATTAATAACGAGAATACAGAAGGTTACGAGTGTGTGTGTGTGTGTGTGTGTGTGTCGTGCCATCAATGATTCAATGGGGAAGGCCTGGTTCTGCGTGACGTCATGAGAGGAAACACATTCACAAACCAACTGGGGATGATAGTTGTGTTAGTCAGAGCTTTGCGACACCGCCATGTGTCTGAGATCTCCAGCAGGGACTCAGAAATACTTCAGTCACACCTCGAGTACATACACCCAACCTGCACCTCTAATGTCCTCAATTAGAAAACTCCAAATGCTAAATCAAGGATGTATCACAGTGTTCAATTTCGTACAGTAGACTCCATATTAGTATCTTAATGTGGACAACTTAGTGTGAAACAACGTGCAGGGAGAAGAGACAGTCTAATTTTAATATAAAACAAACTGCATGCAATGAATCAATAAAGTATTGTAGAACTAACCATTTATTTTAAACAATTGTTAAGCCCGAGAGCCCCCAGTGGAGGGGGCTGCGAGGTGTTTTTTCATGAAACTGTGTCTCAGGGCATCTTAATATTTAAAAACCTATTAATGTGTTATACCAGATTAACGGGAAGAATCTCAGCTAACTGACGATATGAACCATTTTTACCAAAAAAAACACAAGTCTCATAAGAAGCATCTAAATGACCCCTGAGCGAAAAACGCACTTGGCACAGAACTCAAGATAAAGATACCCTTATTACTTATCGTAGCTGCACATACAAGATATCCGATTAAAGCTGAGACTCCACAGATTATATAGGTATAGTATCATCACTGAGCAATCAGAACTTGCGACAGGGGAAGCAAACACAGACATCACAACACGTAGCATTACGGAGCAAAAACGGGACATCGTCTCACCTTAGCTGTTATTCTGATAAAAAGTCGTGTTCAATGGCATTAAAACGATAAAAACGCTGCTGAGGGTTAATCCATAGGTTAATGCAATGTGTCTGTCACTTTCAAAAAATTATTTATAATCCATAATTCAATTTGTATGTAAAAATCTGAGAATAAAAATTAGCTGCTAATGGTAGAGTTATCGCAGCTTCCGGTTTTGGCTACGCGTCACTCTCACTCCTTATTTGGTAATGTGTGTGTGTATGTGGGAGTTCCCCTTGATTCCATTGGCTCTAGCGGTTAAAAGGAGATGTCAATCAGCAAAATCGACCAAGGGGGGCCAGAGATATGGAAAATACACCCAAATGAACCCAGAAGTGGTTTTTGTTTGCTAAATCCCTCTAAAAAGGTCAAATTTCACTTGTTTTGCATCAATCTTGATAGAGGGTACTTATTATATGTTGTAGTTTGGATTCCTAAAGCTTTTAGTCTACCATCCCATCATTCAAGGGTGGTGTTCACTATAAGTATTTTTTCTTTTTTGGACTGACACTATAATTTATATTTTCTTTCAATCTGAATTTACTTTAAAATAAAAACATTTATATTGATTCTGACACTTCTACCTCCAACTCACAGATGTAACCTTGCTTTGAGAAAAAAGATTATTAATTTAACCCTTTTAGAAGGGAAGATATGGTTCTGGGAATGTCATTTTCGAGCCTGAGACCTGAAAAACAGGCTCAGGGCTTAACAGGTTAAACCTCTCATTAAAAAGCAACAAGGGCCTCAGAGTTACATCTTCTATTTGCTTGTTCAGTCCACCCATCAGCCTATGAACAAGATGTTCAAGATACAACAATGATACAAACTTTGGAGGAGGCGGGACCAACTATAACCTAACATTATGGAAACTTATTTTGTGTAAATCAACTCCTAAAATACTAAATGTATTAATGTAAAACTTATTTTATCATTTCACTTTAAAGAGGAGCCACACTGTGAACCTGCTTTCGGAGCACACTCAATGGTGTTTCTATGTTACAGAAACCTAATCTTTTATTATGTAAAATAGTATAATCTCTGTATTTTAAATGTATTTTAAGATCCCACAAGTCAAACAAGTAGTAACAACGGCACTTTAATAGTTTTAATATTTTTTCTGAGGTACTGTGACTGCAAATGCCATGCTTGCAAACATTTCTACACACAGGGCGAAGTTGTTCACCGAAGGCCAGAGGCAGCGAGCACAGTGGATGTTCTTTAAAAGCTCTGCAGCTCCAGGGGTTCTGATATATTTCCACCCAACTGACAGACTGTGTTTCACTGCAGCAGCTCTCCGAGGTAAGAAAGAGGAGGCGCACCAAACCTAATTGTCAGCCGAGAGCCACAAAATCTCCAGCTGGACAAGAAAACCTGCTTTTTCCCAGTGTCTACTTCTAGCAATCCAAACAGAATGATAGACAAACAGGAAGTCTTCCTGAAAAAATGAAATGTTTCCTTGTAAGGGTCTACATTATCGTACCATCAAACCTCCTAATAGCAGCGGTGTGAATTTGTTACATTTCAGAGATGTAAAATCATGTGTTTCTGTAGAATATGCTCACTTACCCCGTGCTCGGAGACGAACGTCGCTCCGACACTTGGTACATGCCTCTTGTGCTTCCAGAGTTGCTTGAGTGTCTCTGGAGATACAAAAACATGCACAAAAAAGAGTGATTTTAGTCAAATAAAACAGCTTCGCTAAGCTTTCTAAGGCATGCTCTTGGCTCAAATGTATTCCTCATAGGTATTCCTAAGAAAGCGTTTTGTTTTTACTCAACCTACATGAGAATTTCAGAGAATTTTAATTGGCATAGTTCATGCCATATAAAGTCTAACGCATTTCTAAAATATAATTAAAACAATACACTTAAAACTAAAGCAAGAGATAAACAGCGTTTCATATGAACTCCCACTGAGTTAGCTTTGCTAAAATAATAAATGCTGCTTAATACATTCTCACAGATTTTATTTACTGTTTTCATTTATTTCAAAGAGGATCCTATTATGCTGTAATCATGGGGCACTTCTGTAAATTTGACAGCTTAGATATTTAACAAATAATCACAGCTGAAATAAACAGCGCAAGTACTTCACATTACAGACATTACAACATTGCACTTTGATCTCACTTCAGTACTTTACAACTGAAGAGTGACAGCATCAGACACAAATCAAAGACATTAATAGACAAACTATTTCCCAACAGGGATTATTGATGATCAGTCACAGAGGAAAAGTTAGGGAAGAAGAAGTGTATCGAGATTGTTGTGATCATTTCTCTCCTGAGGGTGGCAAAAAACAAAAGCTCATAAAATGAACATAAAAAAGAAAGGGATCATTCTCTGAGGGGGCATTAGTGTAATGAGGAAATATCATATCTCTTTTATATCTCTCATCTTTTATGATACAAGTTTGGCCCTTTTAGAAAGCTCAGGGGGACAAGGAGTCCTCACAGCAAATGTCATAGAAATCCACTGTTGATGCTAAACTCACAACAAAATAAATCATAATTGTGTACCGTGAATAACTTTTAGAAATGTCATAGAAATCCTGTCATTCCACATCTATATCTTTTGTCCAAAACTGCATTTTTTTCTCCTGAAGGTGGCAGTACAGGAAGGGATTTTTGTGAAAGCCCTTTTCCAAATTTTGAGGCAACAGGCGGTCACACGAATCATTTGGAGTCCTCAACTCGGGATTATGAATATCCTCAAGAAACTTCCTGGCAGTCTGACTCTAGTAGCAGTAGCAGCAGTAGTAGTAGTAGTAGTAGTAGTAGTAGTAGTAGTAGTAGTAGTAGTAGTAGTAGTAGTAGTAGTAGTAGTAGTAGTAGTAGTAGTAGTAGTAGTAGTAGTAGTAGCAGTAGTAGTAGCGGTAGCAGTAGTAGTAGTAGTAGTAGTAGTAGTAGTAGTAGCAGTAGTAGTAGTAGTAGTAGTAGTGGTAGCAGTAGTAGTAGTAGTAGTAGTAGTAGTAGTAGTAGTAGTAGTGGTAGCAGTAGTAGTAGTTGTTGTGGTAGAAGTAGTACTCCAGGGTTGTTGCTTTTTACCAAAATGTTCAAATTACAGATTCACTGACCGTTAAACCCTCACAGTAGCAACACAAAAACCTTCAGCATCCTACAACCTCAAATATTTGGTTGTATCTCTGAAAGCAGGTGGAAATGGTGTATTTGATTGTGGGTGTAAAGCCTGACTCTTGCTCTCTCTGTTTGCCTGAGAGCAAAATCCTCCTAGTGACTAATTCATACACCATTTAAAGCTGCCTGTGCATTGAAGTGTGTAGTGTGTTTACTTGTGTGTGTGAAGTAATGCCAGGTGGAACTCTGTGTACCAGACTGGGGACGTGTCACAGAGGGAAAATGTGCACAAACCCTGTCACTCCCTCCCTCTCTCTCCCTGTCTCTGTTCCTCTGCTTCTACTCGCACAGCCTGAACCTGGCCTAGTGCCACTGAAAATGGTCCATCGAGGAAACAGGCAAACACTATCTCATGGCCAAGAAGCCTGCAGTAAAGGCAGAATGTGAACAAATCTCCCAGATATAGATGGAAACAAATACATTCAAAAGACAGTAAAACTGTAATCTGGTGACCCAAGCTTTTCTCAAACTCACATCTTTTTCTATTTCTTGGATCTTGTTATCTTCTTTGTTAAAAGTCCACAACTTCATGAACACTATTTTCACCTTGCACCTTTTGAAAATAAATCTAGCGAGATTCTTTAGGTCTGTAACATAAAGCCATTGTGATCGAATGGCCAGCCCCCTGCTGCAACTCAATGACCATGCTTCTCTCTTTGTTAACTACCTCAGTAAACATTTTTCAAATAAGTGTATGGTTTCAATCTAGTTTTACGTCTTGATCAAACCAGCATGATGTCCATTTTGTGAAAACAGTCTAATTTGGGGTAAAATAAACTATAAAGCAACGTATGGTTATGAAGGGGCTACTCTGTAAAATGACATCTCGCTGCTACAGTGTGTTTTCAGTTCATGAAAGTTAATTGTAACATTTTGGTTGCCTAAAATATTCTTGTTCAGCGTTGGATGTATTTGCTGCACCCTTTCGTGTCCCTTCTCATCCCTTCTGTATCTCATCCCAAAAATAAAATAAAAATGTTGTCGGCCAATACAACGGACCCTAGGCTTCTGAACAGCAGTCCAAAAAAACGATGGTTGACATGACGTTTGCTTGGTTTACTTCTCATATACAATCTATGGGATAAATGCACAAGAATGCACTTTAGCTGAACTAGAGAGTGAGCAGGAAACAAGACATCCATCTCTTCATCCACTGTCAGTCCTAAAATACCTCTGTGCCTTTAAAAACCTGTCTCCTAGGAGATCTTGATGATGTTATGACAGAGAGATGGAGAGTGAGGTGGCGAGGGTGTCGGGTCGGGGGGGTTACATCTCCAGGCCTCCCTCAGCAGGGCAGCAAGGTGCCAACCAGTCTGTGACTCCACACTTGTACTTGTCATGTTGATTATTCACAGTCCTACGAGAAACTGGCTGATGTTCAACTCCAGAGAGGAGGAAGTCTAAATCTAGGCAGCAGCGTTTTGGGTCAATCCCAGGTCAAATGACTGAGAAAAAAGTAGATTTTATTATTAATGCTATTTCTGATTTCCGATATCTTAAAATGGGTTGATGACATCATTATAAAGAGGTCTCACCAACACTATTCCCTACACTGTGTGAGGAGATAAAGTTATGTCGACAATATCTCTGCACTCATAGTGATCTGAGAAGACATTTACTGAGCATCTCAAATATTAAGCCAAAAGGAAACCAGCCAGTTCCTCTCAGGCAGATCTGTAGCACATTACATCTGATTCAAATTCACGTTGTAGCCTCGAACACGAGCAAGAGCAAGAACTGGTTTCCATGGCAGCACACAGATTTGTGAAATGAAACGGGTCAACCTTTTTTCAAGGGATGTTGGATAATCATTTTGAATAAGTGACATCTTTAGGAACAGAAAGTGTCTGCTTTTACATTTTTATTAAAGTGTTATAGTGCAAAAGAAGGGGGGGGGGGAGGCTGCAAATGGAGATGTGGAGAGCCTGGAGGCAGGGGGTTGATCTCTTGCTTTTTTATGTAAGTACCCTGGTCAGCAGGTCGTCTGCTGAAGTGCTTCTCTATCAATGGTGATGCTGAATGCAAAACAGGAAGGTATTAAGCTTCTAATTTCATTCTGATACAACCCTCACAATAGTGTGTTAACACGTTCTTGTGTTCATAAGATGGACTCCAAAGTGTGGGGCCTGCACAGAGCAGAGACCCCAGCTCCATTTACACCTTTGCAACAGAAACGTCAAGTCAGATCTCATCAAACAACATCAATGTGCCAATCTCACTCAAGCTCCTGTGACTGAATGGGAGCACATTCCTGTTCCATGTCCCAAAATCTTAAAAATAAAAGAGTTAACCAACGCATACAGAATAAAGGTGTGCACATAATTCAGGGTCAGGCAGCTGTTCAGACAGTTTATCAAACGTCTATTATGGGTTCGACCTGTGCTGCATTACAGGGACATAACTCAATATAATCAATGGTTAAGCACTATTCAAAGAAAGAAGCTGCCCCCGCAAGAACTGTGGGAGAGCTCTGAAGTGTCTATGCTGGTAAAACAAACACAAAAAGAAATATATATACTGTATGAAATAATTCTGAGTTGATTATATTGCGTTATGGAGAAACAAATGTCAATCTATCAAAATAATTTAAATGTGTCGTAAAATAGATCTGAAACATCCCACTACATTTTGTATCACATTCACTTTGTTTATTATCAAGCGATATAATTAATGTGACCAAGTCCTTCAGCATTTTAAAACTCTTTGTATGTTATGTACAAATATAGTTTTCTTTTTTGTTGTCTGAAAACAACATGTCTTAAATACCCTAAATAAAAGCAAGCGTTAACACACAGGAAACAAAATATCTCACAAGGCCTTCTGTAAAACCTTTTGATACTACAGAAGACACACGTCAGGAGGTACCTGGCGTCCGTTGCCCTTTGAGTTCTGCAGGCTGCAGCGCCCCAGGCTGCCGTTGGGTGTGGTCCCGCAGCTGCTGATGATCTGCAGCTGTTTCTCGGCACGGTCCGCCCGGTCCAGCAGCTCCTCGATGAACTGTTGCAGCCGCACCTTGGCATTGGCTTCTCGTGCCGCCGTCTCCTGAAGGAACTGGTCGATCTGGGCAACTTCCCTGAGAGGCAGAGAGGAAACATTAAAGGGGACCTATCGTGCAAAATCCACTTGTTCATGTCTTTTATACATGAACATGTGTCCCCTCTGTGTAAAGAGATTCTGAAAGTTTCAGGAAAAAAGATTCGCTCACTTTTTGTCCTGATCCATTTATATAAAAACCTGTCTAAAATTAGTTGATCAGATTTTGGCCACTTTATGATGTCATAATGATGTGTTGGCTTGAGTAACCATTAGCCAATCACCAACCAAGGTACCATCCCCCCCCACCTTATCACCTGTATCTCCTCCTAGAGCACCATTGTGTTCTTTTTAACCAAATCTCTCCCAGAGGGGCGGGGGGAGTGGCTCCTTATTTTTCATCTAAAGTAACATACAGAAAATCAGCCCTTTTGAAACAGGGCTGAAACAGAGGGGTTTATGGGATGCTACGATGATCTGTTTGGTATTTCGAGCCAAACACTTCAGAGACATGTTTTGTATATATCTGAGACCTATAATATATTGACGAAAAACAGTATAATAGGGGACCTTTAAGGGGACATTCTTTACATTTGGGGGTACGCTCTTTGAATGCTTATTTGTAAATGTGTCTCATCAGGGGGAAATTGCTGATCTGTTGGAACTCGCTGATGGAAAAAGCTTACATGTTCGGCTCAAATGGTTTTGCCTGTTTTGCATGGAGACTTTGCACACAGGCTTTGTGACAGAGAAGTATTATCAATACAAACACACAGAGTGGGTGAGAAAGAGAAAAATAGCGGGTGAGAGAGCAGCTGGATATTTAGACGGCCGCAGGCACAGCAGGGCCAAGTTCCTGTCATTTTAGGGGACAGTGTGTTACTGAGATACAGAGGCAAGCAAACTAGGAATTCAGACAGTGTTAGGAGCTGTCTGCAGCCAGTGTATACTTCCAGTATTCCCTGCAGTGATTTTGTTCAGCGTTATCATAACAAATCTATGTATGACTGATATATGCTGAACATGTGTGTGGAGGGTCAAGTGATGAACAATCCTGAATGTCCAGACATGATTCATACATCATAATACAGTAGATCAATAACTGATTATGAATAATATAAGCAGGGTCAGCATTAATTGGAACCAGCTTCAAGTTTGTGTTTGTCCAAATCAGCTATAAGCAACAAACCAAAAGAATATACGAATTGGAAAATGTAATTGTTTACCTTAGTGACAATATGATAAACATGCAGATACGTTTTCCCTTGCTAATGCCACTTGGAGAAAGCAGGAACAAGCTATGAAAACAAAGGTGACATATAATCACCATACGGATATTGGAGATGCTGGAACAAGCACTTATTTATTTGGCTCCACACACAAACTAATCGATATTCCTAACTGTTATAGATTTATTTCTGTATATCTACAAATCATAATTTTTCCAGCTCTACTTTCCTCACAACCTGACCCCATGTCAACCTGACCCCATGTCCCCTTTTACAGAAAATGTTCTTTTCATGCCTGTTAATCTGGAACTATGAGGGACTTACTGTATTCCCAGAAGCTTTTCTTGTACCTCTGTTTGTGTCCTTTAAACAACCTGAGCTTTTACTGTCTAAGCAATGCAGTCAGGAGAGCTTAACAAGACCATTCAGACATCTGACCTTGACGAAGCCACAGCAACCATTAAAGGATCAGGCCGTCACTGCAGACATCAAATCTGTGTCCCTCCAATTTAAAATAGGCTTGTTCTCATAAAATAAGCCAAGCTGCTTATCAGGATGGATATGTCCAACTGATGTCAAACATCCACTGACCATTATGATTCATCCTGAATCCTTCCAAAAAAAGTAACGTGACTGTGATTATTTTTTAAATGAGGACGTTCTGGGATAAAAATAGTTTGCCGTTTGGCGCAGTTCACTTTTTTAACTCTTATCCTCAGGCAATGATTATAAAACTATGATTCCAAAAGTATTCTTAGGTGTTTGAGCGCAGGGTAGAAATAAAAGCACACCTGCTATCAAACCTGTGAGTGAGCAATCAGTGAATCAGTCAATTAAGTGGCCATTACTTCTCTTTGGCGTGGCTCTTGGTTATTCATAATGTGAGATAAAATGATTCTTATCTACTTTGGGCTCGTGGGCTCTATGCGATTGGTTGTAAGTGATTAAAAGAGGCCTTTTACTGTACACTGTCTCCACTGTGAGAACTTACAGAGAAAACATGAAGTGTCTTGGCTTTAAGCTCTTCCAACCACCTCATCATCTTGAAATGATAAACTCTCCTCTCTTTTCTGGAACAGGAAGAGAATATCCTCATCTAGCTCGCACATAGGGAAAGCTTGTATTAACAGGGATCTCTTGGGGACAAAGTGGAGATAGAGATGGGAGGAAGGGCACATATGGGCTTTATCAGTGTTGACGGCTAAAGCTAAATGTTTTACTTCCACTTTGGCCTACCTTTAAATCTTTGCAAAAAAGTTTTCATTCACTGTGACTGAAACCTTAAAGCAACATTCTTTTTTTTAAGCATTTTTCAAAAATGGGGGTGAATTCAATCCAATATTAACTGCTTTTTGCTCCACTATGTTTCTCAGCTGGTCACTAACTTAGTCTGTCTGCAGTTTTGTGCTGTGTAGGTAGTGTATAGAGCTGAATCACTGAAAACAGCTGTCTGGAAAAAATGCTAATTAGAGAGGGGAGATTAAACCAAAACAATTAAAAATACTTAATACTTGTATGAAAATGAATTCTTATCATTATCCACTCTACCCTTACTGTGCATCTTTACTTTGTCTCCCTTTTATTGCGTTTGAAATAAGTTTATAATGATCTTTGCTTAATTCTCTGATCATTTCTATTGCGATGTAACGCACTTTGAATTTATTTTGCAAATAATCTTGCCTAGTCTAAAAGAAGGACAATTATGAAGGATGGTTGAACCTGGTTGTACTGATAATCTTATGCTTTGTGCAAAATCATCTTTTAATTTTTTTCAAAAGAGATGAAGAATATTAACATCCATGAACTGCTGAAGTGATGAGGCTCCTGATACCGTTATGCAAAAAAAAAAAACACTGAATATAGGAGGAAGACAGATGCTGGTTGAAGAAGCGCTCCTATCCAAATAACATGCATTAGCTAACGGCCGCAGCAGATTGATTCATTCGACTGTATATGATGCATCTGATTACGGCACACAATTAATGAGCCCAAGTATCATTTATTTTAATTCAATGATTGGAGCTGTACCTAATGTGGTGTATAATTAAGCAGCCTGAAGCGAAAGTTGCTGCTCAAGGTAATTCAAGGTAATAAACAGAGAGCAATGACTGAGCATTGTATTTGCTTCAGCCTCCAGTATAATGACATATGGCTATCTCATATGCTATTAAAAGAGCAGGAAGGTTTGAATGTATCTCACATTGTTTTTTGGAATCCAAATTGCAATACATTTGTAGTTAGTCCTCATTAATTATTCAACGGTATTAGATTTTTGTTTCGCTACTAGAGACAAATGCACCAATTCCACGAGGAGGAACGTTTTGAAGGCAACACAGGAAAGCCTTTCTCTGTGAGTAAGAAATGCACGGATGCAACAGAAACCTCACTCAGCGTGGAAATCCTTAAGGAGAAGAAGCAAGGGAATCAGGAATTTGATCGAAAGACCAAGGAAGATGTTGAATGCTGGGAAAAGGGGGAGAAGAGGAAAAACCTATCTCCTCACTGGATGCCCAGAGACATGCAAGGAGAAAGGGGTAGGACCATAAATAAAGAGGAGAGAAGAAGGTTTGAAGCTGATAGAAACGGATAAAGATGAAATACAAAGGCTGCAAAGAAAAAACACTGCAGAGGCTGAAGCTACAGACAGAAATCTGCAGTCCTGTGGAAGCAGAGAGCGCAGGAGGTTTGACAGAGGGAAGAGAAATGGGATGTGGCTGCTTCCTGTTGTCAATCCTAATTTCAACATGCACACACACACACACACACACACACACACACACACACACACACACACACACACACACACACACACACACACACACACACCCCCCTCCCCCCCCCCCACACACACACACACACACACACACACCTCGATTTCACAGCGTGACTCACACCAACACCTCAGAAAGAAAGCCTCAAGGTGAGAAACATGCCATCCTGTTTACCCGGACGCTGGGGGAGCGGGATAAAGAAGACCGCCATCTTTTCTCGCTGATGAACACGCAGGTTGTTGAGTCTGTGGCGTGAATCAGAGAAAATGACTCGCCGATGGTTTCTCGTCCTAATAACCGACATGTGTGGGTGAAGGGAATCCACTATTGTGTCCCTCATGTTCTCAACTTGGCGACACAGAGTTTTGTCTCCTCTCTATCTTCTAGTGCTGTAGCGACGCGTCGACGACTTCAAAATATCGTCGACGACATATTTCCGCGTCGACGCGTCGCTACACACACGTGGGTCACCCAAAGCAACAAGCAGTTCGCAATCGCACTTCAAACACAATGGTGACTGAAACGGCTACCACCTCCTCCTCACAGGATTGCGCATGAAGCCCCCAAACGAAAACATCTCGCCCGAGGTCTTCAAAAGCATGGGAATATTTTAAAGTTAGTCCAAAACGCAAATATATTTATATCTCACTGAGACTGCTGCATAGCCTAGCAGAAGCAGCAGCTAGCTGTGGTGGCTACCATTAGCAGCTAGCATTTGCTCTCCGATTTTTACATACAAATGGAATTATGGATTATAAATTCAATCATTTTTTTATACATAGACGTTAAAAACCTATGGATTCACCGATTCAGCCGCGTTTTTTCTCCTTTTAATGCCATTGAACACGTCTTTTGATCAGATTGACAGCTACGGTGGTGAGACGATCTCCCTAGAAGCTCTGTGAAGGTACGTGTTGTGATGACTGTATTTGCTTCCCCTGTCGCAAGTCCGGATCACTCAGTGATGATACTATATACCTACATAATATGTGGAGTCTCAGCTTTAATCGGATATATTGTATGTGCAGCTACGATAAGTA